TTAGTAGCAGCTTTTTACTTATTTAGAACTTGCTTTTTTTTTTAGTTAAGCCTTATGTATGTTTAGCATAGCTAAGATTTATTAGTTTACTATTAAACCTTTAAGCTTTTTTTTTTTTCTAGAATACTTTTAGTTTCTAAGGCGTTATGCTAAGGCGCTTCTTATAAAGACGTTCTTAATGCTAATTATTATATGTAGTTGCCTTTTTTACATATTCTTTAAATTTCTTTAGTTTGCTGTAATGCATAAATTTGTTTTTAATTATGTTAGATAGTCTATTATAAAACATTCTTCTAACAGCTGCTTTATTAGTCTATCTGCTAATAGCTAATTATTTGCAGAAGTGTGCTACATATAATTAGACTATGCTTTTTTTTTATTATAAAGTGTTTATTTTATTAACTGCCTTTTCTTTTTAGTTAGCTTAACTATAAATTATTATAAAGGCTTATTTAAAAGCATCTAAGCTTTAAAAGATTTTTTAAGTGTAAATAAAAAAAACTTTTTTAGTTACTTTATGTTTTATCTAATTATCTGCGTGTAGTTAGAACTAGATAGCTAGGGGTCCTTCTAGGTAAAGTTCTATTTATAAGATTATTTCCTTATTTATTTAAAAAGCGCCCTTATTATACTGCATATATAAGTAATATTAAGTAAAGAATAGCTTAAAGTTCTTAGCTATGCTATTAAATAATTTAAAAAGGGCTAGGCGTAGTAACTTTTTTAACTTAATGCTAGTCTTTTTTCTAGCAGTGTTGCAGAGGTTAGCAACTTCTAGGTAGAAGATGTGTAGTTATTAAATGTGTAGTTATTATTAAAGCTAAGTTCTAAGTGCTTTAATTTTTTATTAAAAATATTATATTTGTTAACTATGTTCTGCCTTATTTCTAGACAGGGTTTTACTAGTGCTGGCTACGCTGGCTCTAGTTATGCTAATATTAAAGGAGGTGTAAGGTGCTATACTTTTAAAGAAGTAGTAATTAATGTTATAATTTTTACTTTAAAGAAATAGTATTTTCTAGAGTACAACAGCCTATATAGGTATTAGTAGAGAGGGGATAAGAACTTAGCTAGATTAGGTGTACAGTCTATTAAGTAGAGTAAAGGATAATTAGGGTTTAAAAGGCAGGCTATAGTTTGTCCCTATAGCTGTATAGGTAGCTAAGTTTTACTAGTTAGGTAGATAGGGGTTAGAGGTATATATGTTACAAGATATATAAGGCAGCTTAATCTTTTTTAGAAAAGATTTAAGCTTTTTAGTTTATTATAAAGAATAAACTAAACATTAATTATAACTTTCTAACTATAGTTAGGATTAAGACTATATACATAGTAGTTGCATGCTAGCATGTCTGCATGCTGTTTTCCTTTGTAGCCTGTAAGCGCGCAAGCTTGCAATACCTTATTAGATAACACATTCTGCTAAGCATTTATCTATTAGATGGCGCTATTCCTCTTCTGTTTAGTTATAAGGTCTGCTAATCGCGGGGTTAACTGTCTTCCATCCGTTGTGCTTGGGGCTGTGTGCAATAGCGAGCTGAGTCATTACGGTCTGATTGTTGGCCGTAACACTTGCCTTGCCCTGCTCTTGCCCCTAAGTGAGTGTGTACAGTGAGGGAGGGTATATACAGCAGCAAGCAGTGCACGCTGAAGCTCGGGCTTAGGATGAAGGTGAGGGCAGGGCCTGGCCTGCCCTAGGGCCTCTCCATCCATACATATATGTGTGTGTGTGTGTGTGTGTGTGTAGTACAGGAGCCATCAGCGGCGGGCTCAGCAGGCGGCCGGTGCAGTAGGAGATGTCCACCGCACGGGCGCGAGAGCCGGGGGTGGACATCCGCAGACGCCCGCAGGAGGCGATTGGTCGAGAAGCGAGACAGCGACTCAGCTAAGGCTCAGTGCGGCCTCGAATACCATGTTTTAGCGCGTAATGCACGGCCTCGCGTAATGCACGATTTTGGCAATCTGCGCCTTTTACTTTTAAAGCTCTAGAGACTTACATAAATTATAAATTATATAAATTTTTTATTATAATACTAATTAAATGCTATAGATTCTATTCCTAGTAATAATTTATATATAATACTTTATAAAGAGGTTAATTTACCTACTATGTTAAGTTCTGCCTAATGCTAGCTCCCTTTTTTTATTTAATACTGCATTATTATTAAAATCCTCTAGTGTACTAGCAATAAGCGTAGGAGCTTTCTGCTTACCCTTTATTACCTGCTAAAAGTTATTTTTAAGCTGTTAATTAACCTGCTAAGTAAGCTTTGCCTTTTCTTATTAAGCTGCTTTTGTCTTAAGCTCTTGCAGGTAAGCCTTCTTTGCTATTACTACTCTATGCCTTTTCCTTTTAACTACGCGCGCCTTTTTAGCTTTTTTTACTTTTTTATACTTTACCTTTTTTTATTTTTAAAGCTGTAAAGCTTTTTTTTTAGTATTTTTTTATGCTTAATAATTATGTGCTTTTTAAACCTTATTTAGAGACTAAAAAGTTGCACTACTATAATATTCTAAAGGTGCTTTTAGTAGAAAAGGCTTACTACACTAGTAGCACTTTTTTTTATTAATTAGCGCATCTTTAACCTGCTTAAGCTTACGCTAGAGAAGGATGTAACACACTAAAAATAACTAAACAGTCTTTTTAAGCTCTTATATATCTTTTTTATAAAAATTACTAATAACTTTGTTTAAAAGGCTTTTAACTTTTTGTTAATTTTTTACACTAAGCGCTAAGCTAGTGCTTTTACTAGAAAATAGTTACTTTTTTTACTTATAGTAAAATTAATCTAAAACTATTTATAGCTTAAATAGTAATAAACTAGTTACTTTAAAAGCACTAAAAATAGTTTTATGCTTGTAACAGCGTGTACTGCGTTATATGCTCTGCAGCATTAGCTCCCTTGCTTGCGCAACAAGTAGCACGCTAGTGCTACAAGTAGCGCCTTAGCAGAGGCACACATGTATATTTAAACTTGCAGAGCAGCTCCTCTGCTCCTTAGTTTAATCTAGTTAAGTTACACTACCTCTTGCTTGTAGCTTAAGCATGCTGACTGTAACAATGCTTAAAAGATGTTTTCTAGGCCTTATTAAACATACTATAGAAGTTTTTTTTTTTAATTAATAATAGTCTCTAGTATCTATTTATAAAGCTAGCTAGCTTAGCTAAGTAGGCTAATAAAAGAGGTTTAAACATGTAGACATTAAAAGGCTGTAGTGTATAGGTTATATATAGCAGGTATATAGCTAAAAGGATTTTATTATTATTATAGTACTTAATAAACTTTATTAAAACATGTAATCTATAGCTATATAAAAATAAAAGTTAGTACACTTATTATACTTTTACCTTAGTTTTATAACTAAACACATGTTTAAGCTATGCTAGGCCTAGTTTATTATTTATTTAACTTATAAGTAATAAAGTAAAGAAAGCTTAATACTTAAAAAGGTTAAAATCTTATAGCTAAGAGTTTTATATATAATTAAAAATAGCTTAGTAGATTAGTGTAGGTGTAAGAGAGCTACTATTAGCATAGATATAAGCTATTATTATAATTTACTTATAATTACTATTCTATATAAGCTGCTACTTAATACCTTACTTATACTACTATTTAAAAAAGATTTGCTTTATTTTTAATAGTACTCTAATTAAAAAGTCCTTTTTATTTATATTATAGGTATGCTGTAGTTTTATGCTATATTACTTAATTTTTTTATATATAAGCTTAAAATATAGCAAGTACTTAAATGCTAAGTTAGCTTTATTATGTGTAGTGTCTATGCTAGATGTCTATTAAGATAATAAGTTAATAAAGTGCCTTTTAATAAATTAATTAACTTAGCTTTTACTAGCTTACTTATGTAACGGCGCAGGCAAGACAATGGGTCCGAATGCGGTATGAATCCACTCAGAGGCATATGGGAGTGCGTGGGGACTTAGAGACCTGGGAATACCAATGACACCTATAGGCCTTGTACGTAGGATATCAGAAAACTACCGAGCTAGCTACAGGGGCGAGGTGCGACTAAATACATGAGGGAATAGGGGTAACTGCGGGGGACTGGGTCGAGTCATGGTCGGGGCTGATACGGGGACCCTTTGGATAGGATCCGAGCGACCCGAGATGGAACGATTTGTAGAATTGTTACAACTTACTACTTATTTTTATTATAAAATTTTAAATTATTTATTTTAAAGAAAATAGACCTTTTGCGTAAAGCCTATTAATATACTCTACTAGCTCTTTCTTCTGCACTAGGCTAAGTAGTTGCTAATTTTTAAGTTTCTCTGCACATATGCAGGTAACGCGTTAGTGACGCCTTAAGAGCGTAGATTAATTAACGCTATACTGCCTAGCTACTGCAGCATAATTTAGTAATTCTTTAGGTTTTAGTAATTTTAGCAACTCTAAAGCAGCCTTAATACTGCCTATATTAGTTAAGAGAGAGGTGGTTGAAGTTTTGACAGCTTCGCGCAGAACTGTGCATTACGCGAGGCCGTGCATTACACGCTAAAACACAGTACAGTATATGGATGCTCTTGGCGAAATCACTGGTGGCTTAGACTCTAGGCTGAAGATGAGTCACGATTTAAAGTAAGGGGCGAGGCCCCAGCCGCACGCAGATGGCTGCGCGCCGCTGCGGGAGAAAGACTGCGGACAAGAACAAGGTTGGTTTAACAGGGAGCTATCTACGGACTAAGAGCAGAACTATATGGGCAAGCCGGAGCGGATAAACTATATGCCGGGAAGCTCGAAGATCCCGGCGTTCATTACTCAGCAACATAGCCATACTTACCTCAACAAAGATAAACCAGCCTTCCCCTCCCTACGGCTCGCCCTAACTATCTCGCCACAATCTTCACGCGTGGCCCTAGTTCCCCCCGCGCTATTTCGCCTACGTCTACGGCTCGCCATGGCAATGTATATCAATCTTAGCTTGCAGGGTACGTTGCTATTATAATACAGTCATAAACGGCCTGTGCTTCTCACGAAATGCCAGGGACCGTCTATTTTGCTGCACATCGTTCTGCTGAAGATGATGCTATGCTGCAATTGTATTCAAGCAGGCTTGTAGGCGTAGCACAAGGTGCGTAATACCATCATCCCCCGGCATAGGCAGCAAAAAGCGCTTATAAGCATAGAATCCAACTTTAATGTTTTGTACTCGCGGGTTGCCTGAGATTAGCGTCAGCAAGACGACGTCGTTACACCTTTCAACGATCGCCAATGGACTCACGTTAGAGCGGTTTGGACCTTTGACCTTGACCGCAATATTCTGCGATTAGACAAGAAAGATTGCAACCTTTGGGTTCCTCTTAATCTTGTTCGCCAGCGTTCCATAACTATTTCTAATTTTGAGCCTTAGAAACTACCGCTAATACTCGCCAAACATGCCTTACAATCCGTCTACTCAGCACTATACTAGAAAATAAGATGTAAGGAGATTAACCTGCAGCGCCTGCAGCAGCGTAAGGCTTTTGTCTCTAGGATACTCGCTAATTTTGCGTTTTAATGGAGGCATATCCTCTGTGGTTGTTACAACGACTCTACGTTTCGAAGGCTTGCCTATGCTATTATTAGGATTGTTACCCTGGATTCACTGTTGAAGAAGTAACACTCTCACGCTAAGGTACTAGCGGCTTCCTGGCCTGGATAGACAACCTCCCAGAGTGGGGCTTTGCAAGTGGACACATGGTCAGAGTTGGTGGGACGTCTATCGTCATATGCCAGCATGCTCCGCATGCTATCACGCTAATCCGAAAGGATTTTGGGAAGCAGATGCCGTCCACTCCTAGTTTAGTAGACAAAGATCTTACTTATCTTATACTCTTAGTGCAGGGGTTTATCCTGTATCAGATAAACAGCGGGTTTAAAAAATACACAGAACCCAAGCGTCTACTTAATGGGATGCATTTCCCTTCTAATGAAGCCATTGACGTCTTTCTCCAAGCCACGCAAACTAATACCCCTACGACTCCTCTTCACAGGCTTTCTGTTGAGCTACAGGATATTATGCTTGACAAGGTATCAGCGGGACTAATTGAGAGCGCTAGGATTGGCTGCCTGCTTGACGCTGGGTTAGTTTTTCGATGGAGGTGCGGCAACTGAAACATTGAAAGGGAAGAGGGCCGTCGGGTAGAACGCCTTGGACTCCTGTGGAGTCGCATATTTGGTTCGGTGGCTACCCTAGTGGATAGCATACAAGTAAACGCGTTCGAAACGCCCATTATGAGATATCAATCTGATTTATCAATCTATCGTATAGTAGGAAGCTTGACGATTGCAGTAACTATTAATGGATTGTGAGTTGTACTCCCAATAACTATCAGGAAGGATGGCCAGTACATGTTTTAGACTCCACCAATTGTGAATATCCCTTACAAACTAATAGAAAACTCGAAAGATCTCTATCCAACAATCATCCGACATTGGCTGTACGATATCTGTCACACCTATTGACGACCCATCTACGGACATGACGCATGAAAGTTTGATTTAGCAGCTCTCCAAACTAGCTTCATCTAACATGGTTGCTATCCCCACCGTCGACATAGATCTTGGAGCTGGTGTGGCCTGGATATCCAATTAAGTGAGGGATCGGGTCCCATGGATCGCGCGCGGCTACTGGCGCATATCGATCGCTTCCTCGACGGTTAACCCCAATTATCACGGGCTGATATGTGTTCAGGACAGACTATACCCTCCGCCGGTAATCAAGTCGCCAGCTCAGTGCCGCCGAGGTCATCGACGACGGGTGAAGGTGACCTTCCGCAGAACAAATGCACAGGAGCTTTTGACTACAACCTTCTGATGCGGGTTGGCACCATGCCACGGATGCTGTTGGCGCCAGCCATGGCAGCAAAGCCTAGCTGGAACAATCCATCTAACTGGCTCGGATGAACAGTGAATTCAGACGACATCATACGCGAAACTTCGGTCGGGAGTGGTAGAGTAGCTGCAAGAGCGTGCCCTTCAACTCCATAGCAAATATTAGCCAGGGTCTGGAATGCAGGTCCGTACTCGAGTCCGATCGTGCACATGCTTTCGTACAGCTGCTGGGCGTCAATGGTATCAGCACATTTGATCTTCGCATCTAGGAAGGACGATTGAAGGTCCTGTAGCACTTGCTCTCCCTTCTCGAAATCCGATGGGCTATCGCCAACATCACCGCGAATGATACCAGAGCATACTAGTGTCTCATGACCGGCTTCGGATGTGGAGGAGAAAGCGCGAAATGATACTGGACGTCTGTAGTCTGGTTTGGTCTCTTTGCAGATAGATGCAAGACTATCTGCGTGTCATAGTTGGGTGAGGCGTGAATTAGTGCCGAAAATTCGACGTCCTTAAGCTCCAAATAAGTAAGCTTCTGACTTCCTAGCAGCTGTTTCGTAGCCTCAATAGCCATGGCAATAGAGCCAACTGCGGGATAGACTATAGAACCTTGGATTTTGTGGTCTTTTACCCATGGCATGTTCTTGACTTTAATTCTGAATCGCCACTGTGCTTCTGCCTTGCTCCGTAGGTCACCAAAGCGAGTGCCGACCAGATCGTGACACGGATGCTCCCGCAAATGGAAGTCGAGATTGGTTTGTGATTCCTCCCAATACGTCACTGAATGATTGAATGGATAAGCAGGGAGAGACGGCGGGATCCGGAGGACATGCCCAGCAGGACAGACTAATACTTCTTCGCATGTCGATACTCACATTCTCCAACTACAACCATCCAATAGCGTTGAGAAGGCTGCTAATAGCAGATAATTTTTGGACCAGGGCTGAAGTATATACAATAGGGGCTTGGGGTTCTTTACTATGCACGATCTGCTTTAAAGGGACTTGTAAGGTGGAATGAGGCCCAATCTCAAGCCAGGCATCCACAAAAGAATTTGTCCTACATGACTGCCGTCCAGGTTCTTCACGTCTCCACTTCTTCGTTTCTTGCAACAAACCTGTATTGCGGCAAGGAAATTAACAGTTGAGATCATGTTGCGCACCCAGTAGTCGGGATGGCAGACGTGATGCTGACGAATAACCGCGCCTGTGACGGAGGAGACCATAGTAATATTGCGCAACGATGAATCCGGACGTAGAACACCCATCAAATCTGCATATTGCGAAGCGATGCGGGACATTTGTGACGAGTGGTAGCCCACTTTGACCTTGAGCAGGCGAGAAAATATGCTTTTCGCCGCAAGGTATTTGGTGAATTCCCTGAGTGCGTCTACGGGCCCAGAGATGGTAACGCTTCGTGGGCTATTGATGCAGCTGACGGTGAAGCTTCCTAACGACCCATCTTTCTGTGCCTCTTCAAACTCGGCAATCTCGGCGCGAGTATCATCGACCAATAAGCCAACAGCAGCCATAGAGTGGCTGTCGCTCGCATCATCCTCGAGTGACGAGCTTAAGAGACCTCTGTAGTAGGAGGCCTTCATGGCTGAAGCGTGGTCTAGATGTCCAGCACAATATGCGGCCGCTATTTCTCCTGATGAGTGACCTACCACGACCGAAGGCGAGAGTTACAGCCATTGGAATGCATCGACAAGAGCGATCTGAACACAGGTCGTGGCTACTTGGCTGTACTACGCTCGATCCAACAAGGGCGCCAGGTTCGAGTCACTGAGGATGTTGATGAGAAAGGAGGTCCATCCCAGCCGCTCTAACCGGCGCTGGGATCTAATGAGACTATCCCGGAAAATTGAGCAGGCGAGCAACTGTTGGCCCATGCCATGCCATTGCGCTCCTTGGCCGGTGAAGACAAAGCATAGTGTTGGATTTGTTCGGGCACTCCGACAGGATTTCGCCGACAGGGTCAGTGGCTTGTCCTGGACATCGGTGGAGGATGTCAAGATACAGAAGGCTTTCCATGCATGGGGATCACGGTGGCAGGCCAGGGCATACGCGTAGTCATCAAGGACACTATCTCCAAGACGAACGAGAGCTTTAAAATGTGTAGCTAATTGTCGCTGGATCCCTTGTTCATCTAGCGCTGAAAAGGCGAGCAGTCGCGGCATCTTTCGGTCTGTTTCGTTGACACCAGTGTGCACGTGATGGGGGGGACTACTAGGGTTTGGCGCCGCGCGGACGCAATGATGGCCAGTCAGCCTTCGATGCTGCATATACGACCGGGCATCGTCCAAAACAACATGCGCATTCGTCCCGCCGTACCCGAACGAGTTGACCGATGCTCTTCGAATGCCAGAAGCCATCTCCGGCCATGGCACCTCTTGTGTGGGGAACTTCAGGTGGAAGAAGGCATCATCGATATTGGCATTGAGCTTCTCAAAGTTCGTATTGGGAGGGATCACCCCTTTTTCGATGGCGAGGATTGTCTTGATCACCCCAAGCAGCCCACTTGCTCCTCCGAGATGGCCGAAGTTAGACTTCGCAGCGCCGCTGAAGCACATGTAAACCAAACCAAACCAAGAGATCAAGGTCTGTCTCCTGTTGTGTCGCATTCCTCGTACAGAAACCTTCCTTCCCTGTCCCTTAACAGCATCTACTACTACCTTCATTATAGCTCCTACTACCTTTACTATAGCCCCTACTACCTTTACTATAGCTTCTACTACCTTCACTATATCCCCTTAGCCATTGCCATGGCCCTCACTGCCCCTGCCATTATAGATGTAAATAAATACGCTGCAACAGAGCACTTAGACACTTAGACCAATACACTTCACTTCATCAGTTTTCTACATAGCTGCATGCTTACACCACCTCTCCATTTGCAACATGTTGCCCTCAACCACCGATCACCACTGGCTTGCAGGCAGGAAAGTGCCCTCAAGGTGTTAAGAAGTTGAAAGCCCAGAAACCTATCCGCAGGAGCGCACGCCTTAATCCAGGACCTAGCGACCCCCCTGTACAGCCACACCCGGCAAAGAAGACCTTGGTATGTCATACCGTTTCTACGGATCGACTCACGCTGAGTGTACAGAATCAATCAGTACCTCCACTGCCTACGAAGCGACTGCGAGCATCTGTGGGTCTGCTGCTGCCAGACCGGGTGGAATCTCGCGTGATCAAACGGTAGGTATCTCCCTGGTTCCATTGCTGGCTAACTACTAGTTATGATCGCGTTTCAGCAACCCAGAAGTTCTAATAAATCTAACACACCTCCCTTGAAATGAAAACAAGACCAGGAAGTCCCGTGTTCCTCCCTCTTAGCGCAAGATTCGGTACCTTCGAAGCGGCCTTGAACGTCAGCTTAAGGCACGACAGAGGAACGACAACAAGAGGCTGAAAAGCATACCAGCACAGCTGTTGCTCACCCAGTCCAGAATTGGATATTGAATAAGGGGTGGCCTCGCGAATACTTCGAACCAGATGACCAAGCGAGAGAAGAGCTTTTGGAACACGACAGCTGGCTAGACAAGATCATGGCACAGCCACCTACTCTGGTCGTTCAATATGTGGAAAGAAATGGGTTTAGATATCCACTGCCTATTAAAAAGACTCCTTCATCGCCTCGCCGGAAGCAATCAGATTCGAGCCTGACCGAGTCTAGCGATCAGAAGAAACGGGAAAGCAAGAGCACGCCATACAGAAATCCATGTTATATTACGATGTTTGAAACTAAAGGAAGTTTTCTGCGCGATTTTAACTTTACCTTAAGGTTTCTTCTTACTATGCTAAGCTATGCTTAGCGCAGTCTTTTCTAAAAGTTAAAGATACTAGCCCTAAGTTATTTTATTTTTAAAGCATTTTGTTATAAGATTTAAGCAGGGTTTATAACTACCTTAGTAGTTATTAATGCTACTTTTATTGCTATTATTCTTCTTACTTTCTAGCACTTTTAACAGAGTAGAGAGTAATTGTTTTTGTTAGTTTCTTAGCTTATCTTGTTACTTATATAATAGAGTTAAGACTTCTATCTTTTAGTTTCTACCTTATCTTATCGTTTACTTAGCTAAGTATTAGAGGAAGCTAGTATAGAAACTAGTCTAAGGGATAGAAGAAGGGGTGAACTATTAGGATTATTCTGTACTAAGCTGTGTAGTGTGCAAGAAAGAGCTTACAAAGCTTGTTAAATAGAAGAAGATAATTTAGTGTAACTAGTATAGTTAATGTCGCATACAATTATCCACCTATATATCCATCTGCTGTGCTAGCTACAAGGTTAACCTTTTAGCAACGTAACAGTTAAGTTTAACTATAGCAATAACTATAAAGAGATAATCTAGCTAGAAGATCTATAGTCTTTATATATATCTTTGTTTCTGAGTCTAGCTGCTGCTAAACCTTTAGCTGTTTTCTTAGCCTTGCCAAGTTTGTAGCTGCTCTTTTAGCTGCAGCTGTTTTCTTATCTTATAACTGTGACATAAGCTGCCCGCGCATTGTCGTGTTCCTATCATGCCAGCCCTCCAAGCGTTTGCATGCTTCTAGCGACATCTGCTTAGTTTACCGCAGCTATTGCTTTTCTGATTCGTAACATATAGATGCAGTAATAAATTTACTGTTAATTAATATACAATTCTTTAGTGCTAAATCTTCTATACTATAAAATTAAATAACCTTATAGAAACCTGTTAGTAGTAGTATGTACAGTCGCCTACCAAAAGTCATTGGCCACTTTAGCAAGAGGTCTAGGCCACCCCACAATGGTTAGATTTTAATTAAATGTAACTTAATTAAATTACCACCTTTTTTAATAGTTACAAAAGCAAATAAAACCTCTTGTAAAGAGCTATCTAAATTATCTGTTAATACAATATAGCAATTCTACCTTTACAGCGTAAGCGCTAGCAAAATCTTATGTCATCTTAGCATTCCTAAGTCAACAGTTACATACAACATCCGCCGGCTGCGCAAGCAGCCCCTGCCTACCTATATAAAAGCTCTGCGTACAGGCTAACCTCTAAAGCTTAATAAACGCGCTAAGAGGCATTTAATTTGCTAGGCAGTAAATAATCTCTTTGCTACGCTCTAAACTATTGCAACACTGTTAAAGACCTACTGCTGCATTTATACTAGTACTACAAGGAGATACCTTGCAAAACATAAGTACTACGCCTTCTGCCTACGTTGCAAGCCTTAGTTGTTAGCTGTACACAAAGAAAAGCAACTCTAATTTGCTTAAACTTATTAATATAACAAGGCAAAAGATGTGGCTTGCGTAGCCTTTTATAATAAAGCAACATTTAAAGTTAGATTAGACACTACACCTCTATATGTACATTAGCAGCATAGAAAAGCATATAAGAGTTAGTACCTAAAGCCTACCTTTAAGTCTAAAAGGACTATAGTCTCTGTATTTAGTGTAATCTCTTTTAATTTTAAATTAGAGCTGTTTATTAATAAGAAAGGCAAGCGCAATAATGCTAGCAAATACTGCTAGATTCTACATAATGTTAGTATCCTATTTTATTAGCAGCTTACAGAGGAACGCGGTATTAGTATATAGATGCAGGATAGAGCACCTATTCACACTGTAAAGGCTACCTAAAAGTATATAGATAACTATAGCATAATACAGATAAATTAGCCTCTATAAAGTTCTAATTTAAACCTAATTAAGAACCTCTAGTAGATTATAAAGCTCTGCATCTTAAAGTAACAAGAATATATTACTACTTATAAGCAGATAGTAGATATCCTTAAAGAGGAGTAGGCAAAAATTACACTAGCTAATTATAGGAAGTGTATCCTTAGTTAGTTAAAGCGCATAAAGGAAGTTGTCTAAAATAAAGGCAGATTAACTTACTATTAACTAAGCACAGCACTAAAAGACAGGCCTGTATATAAGCTTTGTATAGAAATAAAAATCTTTAAATTTAGTTAACAATTAACTAAGTAACCTCCTTCCCTAATAGGTTAACTATACCCCTGCAGAGCTCGGATTGCTAGGTGGCTAATGACTTTTGGTAGGCGACTGTACAGTGTTAAAACATTTTATTTATTACCTTTTTATCTAGATCTTTTACTTTCTGTCACGGTTATGTTACAGCTATCCAACCCCTGAGTACCCTGGGCTTGGCACGGGGTATATAGGCTCCTCGGTCTCCGTACCTCTGCCTCCGACCCTAAGGTTTACTCTCTCGTTACGCCACCCTCCTATCCTGCATTCCCTCTCTGTGCCTCGTGCTTCCTGCTCGATACCTCTCACACTTTCTTATCTCTATCTTACTATAAAAGTTAGTCTAAATTGCTTAACTTTTTATAAAAACCCTAGTAATTAAATGCAAGTGTAAAAACGTAAAAATGAATATAATTATTATCAAAGCGTATGTAATTACTGTCTCTATAGACTTATAAAGTGGTGGATTAAATTAGAAAATGCGCCCCCCAGTAGCTAAAGATCCTTGTAGGTTAAGAACAGCATCCTTGGCAAGATTGTTCTGCCTGCACTTTTGAAAGGAAAGTATAAACGAGCTTAGCGGGCCTAAATCTGGGCCACTAGGTGCCAGAACTGGGCCAACATCAAGAACTGGGCCACTGAACAGGGGAGTTGTCGTCCGAATTCACGGTTCATCTGAGCCGGTTAGATGGCTTGTTCCAGCTACTGTGTAGGCACTGCTGCTATGGCTGGCGCTAACAGCATCCGTTGCATGGGCCAACCCGCATCAGAAAGTTGTACGTACCGGGCACGGGATTTGGTCATGGTGACGAAAGAAGAGAAACATCACACTGCTAGGCAACATAGGCTACAGAACGAAACGAATATTTCTTAATTATGGTCTTTAATGAAGCAGCTTGAGAGTTAAAAGTGCATGTTGAAGATTTAGAACTGACTACATTGTCTGGCTTATTGGAAGAGCGCAAACGTTTAGAAGATGCACCTAGTGTCTGTCATCAAGTACAGTGGAAGACTAACCTTTTAACAACGTCTACCGACAAAATCATTGCGCACTGCCAATCACATGAGTTTGGACCAGCTGATCTCGAATGGGTAGAGGTATTGCATTCTCTGACACTTTTATATGCGATTCTTGCGCTGCAGTCTATGGGCATCTGTGAGGAGACTTGCAGATTAATTGCGATTGGATCGTCCATGAAAGATTACGCAAGGTGGTTGTCCAGGCAGGTAGATGTCTACGCCAGAATCAATCCAAAGAAACTGGGGGACTTGATTGAAGCTTTGCCATCTAATCCTGTCATTAATGGGTACGTCAAGATTGGTCAGAATCTTCCCGTAATTCTATCAGGGGATATACAACTTGGCGAACTGCTCCCGCGGGAGTGGGATAGCATGAAGCTCATCCAACAATTAGACACCGAAATAGGGACTTCAAGAGACTCACTGGAGACATACATTGACTGTCTAACGCACAAGCATCCAAATCTACATTTTGGGGAATAGGTGCTTGTTTTGGCACCGCCGCTACATCAATTCTAGGCTTCTACGCTGATGCTGTCACCGCACAGCGCTGTGCTGGATATGCAATTTTCGACGCTGACGAGTGCAGGCAAGCAAAAAGTGAACGTCAAGATCATAGACGAGAGTTAGGAGCTAAGCCCTCAAGAATTCAACCTGCAGAGCTTCAACATCATTGTAATCAATATAACAGGCGATGATCCACCACACAGATAAGACTTCATTAGGAGTATTATCGCATTGCTTAAACCAAACAGCAAATTAATTGTGCGAGAAGTACCGAAAATAAACCTCCTATAGGGTTTCCTCCTTAGTCTTGCGTCTTACTCCCTTTTTCAGAGCTGTACGCTCTAGTTTTTACTGACCCCTTCTTTCCCATATGCCCCTTCGTCAATCCCAAGTTTCAGATATCATACCTTATTGGAGTGTCTACCACAACTAAGGAGACGATGACCCTGAAATATCGCCCGAGATTCCTATTCTAGTCGTAGATGATAATTCGACTCTCCAACGAGCCATTGGCACTCAGGTTTTGTAAGACCATGGGAGGGGGGTAATATTGCTTACGGGCCCCTAGTAGCGCTGATCCAGAAGCAGTAATCTTCCTTGCAACTGCCCTGTAAGCAGAAGGTGCGAATAAACTTTTCGCATCGCTCTGCGAAAAATTCGATCGTCATCAGAAACAGTCAGATTCGCGGGCTGGTCGCACAGCGTGGCTGTGTGTCAGCTTGACCCTGGAAGACGCTCTGACATCAACTGAACGACTTTTCCATCGCGTTTTGGGAAATTTCTGGAAGGCGTTGAGATCCACAAGACAGCATGATTAGATGACGTCTGATGGGTAAGATTGCCATATAAGCCGAGCAGTCAAGTGGTACGTAGTGGTGGTGGCGCGAATCTGCTGATTGTGACACGAGGTGGCTGCCCATCAAAGTGTGGCGAGTGCTGAAAATGGAAGCCTGGGAATATTGAGTTTTCCGCTTACCTCGTGATGGGTGTGAGACATTCGGTAGGCAGCTAAGTAAGGGATTCGCGATTTTTGCTTGGATTTTCGAAGCTTGTTCGCGATAACATGTCATCACGAGTCGCTGTGCAAGTAATCAAGCAAATGCTAAGGAGTGTAAAAAGTTGGATAATTATATTCATCCTTCAAAGCTATACATTGGGCCGCCAGGAACTCTATTTGCAGGAAGTAACAATCCAATCTGTTACGCGATAATCCCAGAAATAAACAAAAAACTCCGCGGCTATGCAAGGTAAAAGGAATGGACGCTATGCTCATGAGAATAAAGGAGAGTCGTTGGTAGCCCGCATTATGTATACCCGCTTTATATGCTCGCTCAATGTCCAAAAAACAATATTTGCCAATACGCCTTTTTATGCTCGGCCCGTACTATGCTTAGTACCCATAGTTATAGGTGTACCCAGTGGGCTTAGGTCCAGTACGCGAGGAGCTGTAGGGAACGCTGGAGTGGCCATGGGTAGGGTATGGGACTGAACCAGTGGAGTAAGGGATGCTGGAAGATCCGCTAGCTCCGGTGGAGATGGGCTTAGAGCTGTGTGGATGTGTTGGCTTGATGCTTGAGCTGGGGACGACGGTTGGGTAGTCGGTGACCGTGATGCAGGTGGTTGATCCGCCCTCAGTGATTGTGTAAGTTTTGACAGAGCACTCGTGGCATGGCTGGGGTGCGACGGTGACGGTTACGGTGTTGTAAACAGTTACTGGAGCCGGGCAGCTGGCGGGAAGAGTGACTGGAGTGACGACTGGTGGCTGAGGAGGAAGAGTAGGGTAGACAACGACATCAGTGGTGTAGGTCTTGGTGATGGCGGACGAGGTAAGATATGTGGAGTAAATTACCGTTGGACCATTGTGGCCTACAGAAGTGGAGCAAGGCACGAAAGTGTAGGTGGTCGTGGTGATGGTTGTGGGAATGGTGATCGGCCCGGTTGGGTTAGGAGGAACAACAGGAGTTGAAGTTGGCTGGTGGTGGCATCCCTTCTTGCAAGAAGTGATGGTAATGGTCGAAGTTGTCAGCGTCGTCACAACTTGAGTCCCATAGGTCTTCGTTACTGGGCAGATCGTCTCAGTGGTGTAGGTGGTAATAACCTCCGTCTCAGTCGTCACACCGGTCGAAATTGGTGGATGAGGGGGCTTTGAAGAGCTCACACCCGTGGAGATAGGCGGATAGGTGTGGTCATCCCCTTTGGTCGAGCTAGGAACATAGCCAGTGCCTGAGCTTGAATGTGACTTCGTTGACAATGACGAGGAGGAATAGACGGAAGATGAAGAGGAGGATGGGTAGAGCGAAGAAGATGAAGATGATGGATGGATGTATGATGAGGAAGACGACGGTGTGTACGAGGAAGTCGAAGAAGCGGACGACGAGGAAGAGACACCGGTCGGGTAGTAGGGGTGGCCGTACTCATTGTAGTTGCGAGGCCACTCAACTACAGGGTTGGCGGCAGCAGCGCCAATTAGGGCAGCGAGGGCGATGGAGACTGATCGCATATTGAGTTGTCGGTTGGGATTAGATGTGTATTTCGGATTAGATATAATTCTCTGAAGATGGCACTCGAGCGATGGTCTGAGTTGATCTGAGAGTAGCGAATGTCTGATCTGAAGAACGGCGAAAGGAAAGCGAATGTAGATAGGAAATGAGATTAGATTGCTTGATGATGATGGATTGACTGGGACGCAGGACGACAGGGTGCTTTATACCACGAGGCGTCTTAGCATCTACCAGATTCCATCGCTGATCAAAGTGAGGGTCAGAGCTTTGTCACGTTGCTACGTTGGAGTCATGGCTGTTCGCCATATTCGGACGATTGCCTTTGCGAGGCAACATTCTAGAGAATACGGTGTGTCGATAGCGTGGATAGCTGAGTTGGGATACTTCGGTCCTGCACAGCCTTATCGCTTCGTTTGCCGGTGGCTGACCAGGGTGCTAAAACTGGACACGATGTTCCCAGCACGGATCCTGCCACGTTCATTGGTAGTTCGCACGGAAGTGGCTGGAGATGGCTGGAGACCAGCCGGCGAAGCGTGAAAGAAAAGTGGGCAAATGAGCGAACGATGAAGCAGAGTGGAGTGAGGTGGAGGTGTAACGTGAGCTGTCGGCGTTATCCGACTGAGACCCTGCCGGCTATTTTTGGGATGCCTAACCCCATGCCATGCCTCATGCAGCGTAGCCTCATCGAATTTTCTCGCTTTCCACTGATGACATAGCAGTAGCCTTCACACTTCACGTTACAACTCTGCCCTTTCAACTGGCCACCCTGAAGAAACATCAATGTGCGGCTCATCTACCATATCGCTCGAGCCTCAAGCCACTGCTCTATTCTCGCTCAATGTTCAAGGAAGGTGTGCCTGCGTATCGAGGTGCCACCCATCCCTGACCTCACCAGCAGAACTTTTCATCGCCCTGCCTCCTGCTAATCCTTAGTGCGACTCACAAGAAGCATAGCGCTTGGCTGGCGTTGAGATATCCTTCACCGCGATTTCATTCTGCTCTCTATCTTCTGTCTATTTCCTTTCTCGTTCAGCGTAGTCTTTCAAGCCACAATCGTACATATCGACCTGCCAATACATCCCACTCATGCTTACCTGCAGCTCACGGGATCGCGCTTCGTCCGATTGAGGAAGTAGAGGCGGGAGATGGCCCAAGTCGTCATGCCATGGAAGACGGTTTCTCGGCTGACATGAACATTACCTGCACATTTCTTTCCTCTGGTTACCCCTCAACACCAACAGCTAAGGAGTCTCGAACTCGGCACCCTTTGTTATGGTGTTACGCCCTCCCACTGTCTCATGCCCAGCCGACTCGCTTTCTAATTTGGATCTCGGGGCACTTAGTTGGGACGTGCTTGAAATACGAGAAGGAATCATTGATTTAGGGCTAGAGGACTGAGGTACACAAGCTTTGTGCCAAATCACGTAAAATATAACGGAAGGTGTATCGACTTCGTATCTGTTTGGCCAGCACCCACTCTCGTCTTCAACGAATGTGCGAGGACTTCCACCAAAAATTCTTGCCCGACTTCCACATTAGCATCAAACCTAATTATTTTTTATTTACCCTCCCACACGAACATTCCCCATATTAACTGACTCCGGTCTATTTGAAACCTAGCCTCTGCATCACGGCCGCTTCGAGCTCTTGAGGGACCGTAGACGAGGTTCCCCATCACGAGCAGCCGAATGTGCCTTGGGGAATTCTCCCCTCACGATCGTCAGGCGAAAGGAGGAATATCTTAGATTTTTCAGAATGTCTAGCCCATCAGTACAAATTCACCAGAACATTCTGAGCGGATACTGGGGGCTACCTACAGGGGGTGTCGAGCTCAAGCGAGATTCGCAATGCCTTCCGTCTTTGAGTCTTCCGACACCGATACTAGAAACTCAAAGAGAAAACGAGAAATAGCCATTGCTGGGCAAGCTACCGAGAGTGAATCCTGCAATCCTGCATTGTTAGACCCTCTTCTTTTCTCTTCTCTCCAACCGGAAGTTCACAACGAATAAGTACGTGGGCTTCCCGCTGACGCCTTCACGCCCCGTTCACCTTCGTACTAGAAACGCAAAATAATCACCCCATTCACTTCCGTCTCAACAGTGTGAGAATGTCCTGAGAATGCCGGAAAAGAAACATCCAGATCTGGCTGGCTACAGATACGATGCTTCATCCATTTATAGCTCGTGGGGTTGACTTACCCTTGCTGGCTACCCAATCACGAGGCTGTCTCCACCTTTGAGCTCCAGGGGCTTCCAGCCATGGTGCTCCAACCAGTTTGGTTTCCTCTCTAGCATGTAGGATCAATACTTCCGACCACACGTCCACTACAAAACGTGTACTGTAAAAAATAACGCTCACCCAGGTGTGGCCATATTACAGCTCCTTTCGCCCAGTCACGTAGCATCTTCTGGCCTATCAACTCTGAGTTGTTTCTTAGGCTGACGGGAATCATGCCGTTCGTTTCGGTTAGTCAAATCCAACTGGTGTTTTGCGTACAAATTTCTTCCAATCAAGGTTGCACCCAAATCATGTTCTTTCACCCCAGCATAACCTACATTCCCACTCATCCTTTAGCGACACTGACAAGGACACTGCCCAAAGAGTGGAAAGCCCTTCCATGATCAACTTACCTTGATCTAACTAACTCGATCAGCTTTTTCCGACCAACTCTATCCTACGACGCTGATGTTGACAAAGCATAATAATCACTTGTGTGGGGCCTGACACGTCGCCGAGCATGACAACGCAGCTGTTGGAAATGGCGCTGAACTGCTTCGGTCCCGTTGCGAGCATTAGTGTGTTGTGGCCATCATGGAAGACTATCGGCAGTAAAATGTGACATAATGGCAGAAATTGTTCACAACAGGGTAAGCGTGGAAAGTTACTCTTTAACTATATTTACTTCTTTGCCAGTGCTAGTAACTTGATAGTCGTGAACGAGATTAGCCATTCCCCCTAGCAGATCCTGCAGTATTCATTCGTTACCCCGAACGCTGTACTGTGAGCGGCCCCTATTTGCGCTCTTTGTTGTCGACGACTGTGCTTCTGCCCTTGAGACTCTGTTAAGGGAGCTTTGGCATCTGTATTGGCTTTGACATCCTTTATTGTGGACGTTTGGCGGTATCGGATAATACCGCGGTTGTGACATACAATCGTTCCTCTCTTTCTGCAGCTCTAGAGATGCAGCTGAGGGTTCTGGTGGCTGTAGAAGGCTGTGGGGCGCCTGGAGTAGACTTCTTCCTTCATCATAGTGAAGAGCCTGGACCAAAAGACTTGCCAGCTTTCATTACTGCAGTAATCTTGGAGTCATTTGCTGTTGTGAGTTAGACGTCTTGTAGTCTAAGATACCCCGATATCAGTAGCTATGTCTTGGCCGCTCAGATGGCCTAGAAAGCGGAAATAGACTTTTGTGAAATCAGTTTTGAGGGAAGAGAACAACATTTTATTTGCTTCTTCTACGTGACGAAATTCACGACACACTAAACTATACTAATCTCCTCTCTATTTCAAATTGGCAAATCATACTGCCTCCGACTAAGCCTTAGGGGCCATAGTTAGTTAAATTGTTCCACCACCTAACCGGCCAAACCATCGAACCGGCTGGCCCAAAACTCACCAATAATCCAAGAAATCATACCTTGATACCTCAACAGCGACTTGATAACAAGGACTAAAATTTCAGTATTAGCTATCTTCTTATACAGATCTTAAGATTTATATCCCACTTTTACAGTCTTTTAGAAAGTGAAACCTTGCGAGATAGGCAAACTTTTTGGCTTTTTTTTAGAGGCTAGTGTCACGGTTACCTGGGACATGCCCTGGACTGCCCCCGGAGAGCGCTAGCACATATATATATCCTTTCTCGAACCCCCAAGATTCCTCAAGGATTCGTCTATCCATACTATCCTATACACCCTTCTGCGCTTCATACCTCCTACATACAGTTCTCTCATAGCTAGAAATTTAATATCTTAAAGATATAACAACTAGGCTTACTGCTCTGAACAATTAATAAAGGCCTTGAATTAGGTATTACGAATGACTGGACTTTAACTTTTGGACATATTTATTCAGTCCCTGTTTAGATATCATGGTATGATTTCTTGGGTTTTTAGTGGGTTTTGGGCTAGCCGGTTCGGTGGTTTGGCCGGCTAGGTGGTGGAACATGTTGACTAACTTATATACCTAATAGATTCCCTGGTTCTTAGTCTATTCAGATCGCACCATCTTGGCGCTACCCGGTTCGCTAGGTGCGAAAGAAGAACATTCTTAACCGTATGGAACACATGGTTAGCAAGTAGGACGCCTGCCAGGCAGAACAAAGCTTGCTTTTGCAACCATGGTAAACCGAGAAGTTCAAGGGATCCGAACGTCGGGATATGCAGAATCAGCAAACATCCTGCCAGATGTTGGGTAAGAGGAACTCCTAACCCCAACAGCGTACTGGCAGAGATGAGTTTTAGCTTTCGAGGGTGGTGTGAATTTTATCCTAAAGTACTTGCTGTAATTAACATGAGCACTCTCATGTTGCCGCCTCCTTCTGGAAGCTACGTTGTCGCAGCATCCTGATGAAGCTAATTGTGAGTTTATTCCTGTGCTGGTTTTAGCGCATGCCGCATGAGTAGATTGTTGCTGTATAAGGAGTCTGGGAGCGACGTCATCATCCGAATGTTTAACGGTAGCCTTGTACCAATAGGAAATATCTGTGAATCAACCCTAGAAGAGCTCGCGGATATGGCCACAAGTTTCAGGTGTTTTGATTTTGTGCTTTGTTGATGCTAGATAGCTACTAGATAGCATACAAGTTTGCCATAAGACGAACTTCTAGCGATAGGCTGTCGACTCCGAGTCCTCAGTGTAGAAGATCAAGAAATCTAGTCTGGCAGAGACTACAACATAACCTCACTATAAAAGCTCTTTATTTATCATCAACGCGACACACTTTATTAGTACTTAATTTTCCAACTATTTCGCCTAATCATCAACGAAGACGAAAACCAAAGTATTACCGTGCACCTCTAATCGATCGCCCTCATTTTTGCTGGCCTCATGGCCAACGGCTTGGTGGCCTCTCCTTTTGCAGCACTGGAGCCCGATAACTTGATCCTTGCTTACGCTGAGAACGCCGCAGTCGGAGGTTCTCTTATCTGCTACGGACGTTTGAGCGGGATGAAATAGCGTCGCTCAGAGGATGACAATTCTGGCCCTGAGAAGCGTGTCTGGCCTTTGATTCCACGATCAAAACCTTTACGACACAGACTCTGAATGGGAACGGCGAGCCAACGACTTCTGCGACCAATTAGTGACTGCGCCCAATGGCTATTCGAAAGTTGTGAACTCTAAGGTTGACTGTCAGATTTGCTACTACGCTGTAACGGGTAGCAACAGGTGCGATATAATATATACAGTATTGTGGGACGCCAGGCCCATAGTTGGTTGGGCAGCCCTCACAGAGCCCTCGGATTTATACCTACACACCAACTATATCCACCATGTCCTTAAACCACTGCCCCCTTTTCCAATTTTTCTTTCCTCTCTCCCCTCTGTCTCCTCCACTCCTTCCCCCAATACCACTGCACCACCACCAACGGCGTCACCGCCACAGTCATCAATGCCAACACCAAAAAAGCCGCCTGCACCCCCACGCCCGCAATCATCTGCTCCACAAACGCAACTCCCACCGCCCCAAGCGAACACCTCACCAAATTATTCAACGCCGTACTGCTCGCTCCCTTTCCGGGACATAAATCCGACACTAGCGTCTGATTGACTGCAAACACCGCATTACTCGTTGCGGCGATTAAGAATTGCAAGAACAGGGGCACAGCAATCCACCCGCGTTTGGTAACGATAGCAGGGGAGAGCGAGAAGCCGTAGAGGGCGGTGCTGAGGACGAAGAGGGATGTCATCCATTTCATGTGTTTTAGTCTTGCATGCTCGAGTGGGAAATCTGCTGGTAGAGATTTTTTACTGAGGGTTTGAGTTGGAGGGAGACCGTGGCGTTCTTTGTACGTTTGTTCGGCAGAGGCGTAGGCTTTGTTCATGAGGTTGCCGATGATGGTTGAGCCGACGATTGTGCCTAGACCATTGGGAATAAATGCCAGACCAAGAAGCACTTCGTTCAGCCCAAACGCCTGCTTAAATAGCCCCGTCGTGCTCGCCGTCACCATGCTCCAAATCGCATAAATTACGCCCCCGAATACCAAACTCAGCAAGATATCCTTCTCTTTTAAAAGTAGTAGTGGTTCGATAAAAGTCTTCGCTGTGACCCTAGGAGGAGTGTAGGTATCGTCGCGGTCTTCGAGGTACGGTGGATCTTTTGTGAACCTCTGCAGGAGAGATTTGTGGATGCCTGTGAGTCGGAGTTCGCCATTTCCGGCGATGCGGCGCAGGGTTTCTGGGAGGAAGATGATGATTGCGAGGAGTGTAAGAGAGGAAAGAATGAGGAGGAATACGAATATGGATCTGGGGGTTTGTGAGAAATTGATGGAGGGGATTTGGAGAGGATGCGGGTGAGTACCTGAAGCCGAAAAAGTTGGCGAGAAGACCACCAAGGACAGGTCCGATGGCTATGCTGAAGTTTCGAACTGATTTTGTTGTCATTAATCATTTGTTCTCCGTGGACAGGGAAAGAGAAGATGCACACTTACTTGCTTGGTAAAAACTGATGAAGCCTCCTCTCTCCGCAGGTGGTGTTATGTCTTGGATGACGCCGTTTCCTGTCCCTTTTGGTTACTATTTGGCACTTTAGAGTCAACGTCAGAGGCTCTGCATACCAATGCTCACGGTTGATGCACTTCCCGCAGCTTGCAAACCTCTAAAAACCAAGAGAACAGCAAAATTCGGAGAGAAGCTGAGTGCAATATTTGAAATGATATACACCAGAAAAGAATAGATGTAGATCGGTCTCCTTCCAATGGTATCTGAAAGCGAACCCCAGAACAGGGGAGAGATTCCCTGGATAATCAAATATGAAGTTATAGTCAATGAAACCGCGTTCAAACTGACATTGAGGTCCTAGAAGTGGTCAGTGGGTCCTCAAGCCCTATCTCTCTAGGAAAGAAATCTTACTCTCGCGATAGCATCTAGGGAAGGGAAGTAAATATTCGACGACAGCCCCGAAAAGAGCCCCGCAACCCCAATCATGATAACAACACTCCACTTTTGCTTCTTGGAGAAGACATGATACGGCTTCTCCGGGATTATAGTTGCTCTTCTCTCTTCCGGGGCATCCACTCCTTCCAGCTTGCCCATTGTCTCCGAATCATGCCGACCAGGACTCCTCCATGAATGGAGGCTGGATACATCGGATCTTGCAGGAGCCGTCCAGGATGTTCGATCATCATCGTAGTTTTCGGGGTCGAATTGATGTCGTATTGAAAAGACTCGAGCGCCTGATCCGGCAACATATACGCCAGTTCCGATCTCTCGCCATCCTTCAAGGGTCGTAAAGCGACGAGATATCCCCCGCGGTAGAGGATTCCAGGAATTGTGGAATGACATGTTGAAAGAGCATGAAATGGAATAACAATCTGGGACGAAAGAGTGCGCAAAGGAAGCGAAGAAAAGAGATGAGGATGCTAATAACGAGGTGAAGTAGAAGGAAGAATTCCAGAACCCTTCAAACCATTATCACCGTTCCAAATGGTGTCTAGAGACGTGGGTGCACGAACGAAATTAGACTCATGCTAGATTGAACAAGCCCTGGCGTGGAGTACATCTGAGTCTGGCCTGTGGGATTCATGTTTCAAGATCCTGATCGACGCGTCAATAACCATTCTGCTGACAACCCACCTCATCTCATAGGCCATGCACATCGGCTTGGCATGCCGGAGAGAGATACAGGAATGCATGTCCTTGCATTGGTTGCGAAAAGCATGCCATCGCGTCCTCAAACGAGTGTGCGCTTTCCCGAATAGGCAGTCAGGAGCATCGGCCCTCCAAGACAAGACACGACTTGTTTCCGCTGTTTCGGCTTATTCATGCCCGCCCATCTTGACCCTGAGCGACATGTTGCTACGCAATGAATCAATCTGAGGCTGCAAAGTGCGGCAAAAGCTAAGCTAATGCCACCGCCCTCTTAACGGCGATACGAATTGACCCAATGCGGACGGCGATTGGGTGCTTCGGGCCCAGGACTTCCCGCCGGCATCCTTGCGCAGAGGTTTCCGGGCAAGGCAAGAAGAGCTTCTTGCCCCCAAATCTGTTGTGTCTACTTCTTCATAATTCGTTCTCGTTCTTTGGAGTAGGTTGACCCTGACGGCTCTTGCATCTTTGTTTCCTGTGCCTCTCGTGCCCATCTCTGTCTGCATCATGATGTCTGGTCTGCACCGTAGACGAAGGCCTCCTCCTATCCGGATCCCTAAAGTCGAAATCAGAGAAGATGACAGTGAGAGCGAATCTCAGACTCCATCTCAAAAGACTTCAACACCCCCCCCAACCCCAGCGTCATCACGCCCTTCAACTCGGACCTTTCAATCTATCCTTCAACCAAGCGTAATTTCGCAAATCCGCAGCGGTTCACGAACATTCACTCTCCCTTCCCCATCAGCCAAAGCTACCACCCAGTTCACCTTTCAGCCTGCGACAACGGCAATATCTGAATCCACATCTACATCCGCCTTTGCATTCGCGCCCGAGCCCATCAAGTCCAGCCCAACGAAAACGACCCTAGTCACTATCACCACGGCGCTCAAATCTCCGAAAGAAAAGGGTGAAGAAAGCCCAGAAGTTACACAAACCGTGTTCGTCTCTGCGCCTCCACAGATAGTGACAGTCACCGCAGCATTGCCAGCTCAATCCACCAAAGCGGGAGGGGGAGGAGCGCAGCAAGAGCAACAAGGAATCGGAGGCGCAAAAGGAGCAACTGCGTTACCGGCGACTGCAGTGAAGTTGATCGCTGCTTTCAGTGTTATTGGTGAGTTCGGTGATGCACCAACCCATATCTTTCACAATTGTTTTGCTGACCAACTGAAGCTGGCATCTCGATGCTGGCCGGCATTGCCATAATCCTGTGGCGAAAGGGACAGAAACGGCGCAAACTAGCAGCGGCAGCGGAGCAAGAGGCTCAAAACCAGGTCTGTATTTCTGATCTTCCATGCAGCACGCCACTCAGGTCGCTAATCTTCCCAACAGCGCGATATGACCCAGGGTGACGATGGTGGCTTCAGAGCTATCCCTGATACACAACCAATTCTGCAGCGATGATACGATTTTATTTAAAACGCATCCATCTTGCTGGCCTTGCATTTTGGGAGTCTAGGGCTTGTTACATACCAATTATAGATACATAGAGGGGAAACATCTCGAAGATGGTCCCTAGGATGCTCCGGTTAGCCATGAATCCATCTAGCACAAACAGGTACATACTGAAAACCCCCTAAATCAACGAGTTACGAAACAAGCTCTCCACTGCTTTTGGCGGAATGTGGTATGAAAGCGAAAATTGAATAAGTGCAACAGCGTGGGGATAAGTGTCGAGATCTCTATTCGCTAGGCTAATGTTTCAAGAGTTTCGCATGGGTGGGTCGCGCAAGCTAAAACCGCTAAAAAACGGGAGCGAAACGGTTGAGGTGTCTCAGGCCTGAACCTTCCGCGTCTTGACGATTGACAGAGAGCAGGTTAGAAACGGGTTTGCGTCGATCGGAACGTGCCTTTAGGTTGGGGATTTAGGATTGTGGGCGGTAATTTACTTAGTGCGTCGCGTGATGGGGAGTTGGGTAAGGTGGGGAATGCTTGTATTGCGAGACATGAGGTACTAAGTGGGAGGATTGCGGTGCATGGGGTGGGTCTCTCGGAGGTTGAGTAGAGGAATGAGCTTCGCCGGCCAGATCAGGTGCATACGCGTCTTCGCCGCCAACCGCTCTCTGGATCCACCTGAACAAGGACGCAAAGTCGAAAATACATACCCACGAAACAAAGAAGAGATACATCGAGCTTCCTCATTAACATGAATCTGGCGTCGCCAATTGGTCTCCGGCTTGCCGGTGCGAATAACAACGCCGGCCTTTCATCAACTATGTATCTTGGTGCACTTCTTCGCTGGACATTGATACCTCGCCTGCATCTTCCCCGTTCCATCTAGGGACTTGCACATCTGGTAACCGTCGTCCTTGAAATGCTTTCTCGTATGCAAGGCCCACTCGTTGATATCCATGGGCTCAACCCAAACCCCCTTGTGCTCCCAGCAGATCAGACAGCTGCGCCGATCGCGATGGTCCACAGGCGACTTCACTGACACGTGGGACACGTAAGCGAATCTCTGGCTGTAGGGGGCGAAACCAATCCAGTCTTGCGTATAGGACTTGGGGTAAGAGGTGTGGATGTCCAGGCCACAGTGGGTGCAGCGAGAATAATCTTCCCTGAGATCGTCGCCGAGGGAGATGGACATGGAGCTTGGAATGAAGCGACGCTTTTTCACGGCTCCGGGACAGAAGCCGGGGTTTAGATTGAGGCCATGGCGGAGGCGTAGGGCAAAGTTGGAATGTTCGCGGGGAGGGAGAGGGGGCTCGACATTGGGCTCGGTTGGGATGGCTACCTGTGAAGGCATGGGCCTTAGAGCCAACAATGGTTTGATGTCAGGAAGCGGTGGTAGGCCGTCTTTTTCAGTCAGCAGGCTGACATATAGGTCGGTGAGACGAGAATGCAGCCATGTTCATTGTGGCCTGGCAGAAGGGAGTACCTTTGTAAGCTGGGGGCAGCAAGGACTCGGAAGAATTTGACCTCTCCATTGCGGGGGAAGTGTTGCTCTGTGGCTACTCGACCGGCAGAACAGGAAATGGGTTGCACTTTCTGCACTTTTTCACTTGACTATGGACGGGAGATGGGCTTATAGCTGGACCTTCAATCAAGATGGGTTGGGGGTTATCAGAGAACCGGAATTCCGTTCACAGGACAGAAGGGCGTGGGCGGATGGCAAGAACATCACGTTTGTTGAGGGCAGCCCCACGACAACGAGGGGCAACCGCGGGACGATGTCGGGCCTGGCTCATGGCACGAGCAAGCTGGAGCGAGGCAGATTTGGGTCTCCTCTGAAGATGATATTGGATATTTCTGGAACGAAAGGGATGGGACTTTGATACGAGGGACAGCGATAATCACAGAGCAGCAATGAAGCGAAACAGGACTGTAGGAGGGAATAGAGACGCGGACAGGGAAGCTGAAAGGAGGGCTTCCAAAGGAAAGGCAACAATGAGTATAGATAGGGTGATAGAGGATGGATGACGGAGCAATAGTGCGGATGAAGGAGTGAGCGACTTGAGAGGGGTGGAGATGGTTGGCTGGTGTTGTGGATGTATGTACAGTGAATGATTTTGCGCGTCGGGCTTCGGCGTTTCGGAAAGCGGGCCGGCGATGACGTTTGCTTGGCAGAAGGGCAAGCTCTCACGCTCTATCAAACCCGCAACCCATCAGTCTGTTCTGCCTCGCATCTCAGCCAACTCCTCTCTCTCTCTCCCCTATCACGCCAATTCCTCTCGCCATGTTCGCTCGACAGGTGTTCCGGCCGGCAAACACGGTGCGGCAGGTATGGCACTTCCTACCGCCGCTTACGGCCATGACAAATCAACCGGAGCTCTGTCAACACAGCAGCTAACATAATGGCAGCATGTCCGTCGATACGCATCCGATCCCCCAAAGAGCGGCGGCAATAACTCAATCCTTTATACCGGCATTGCCCTAGCCGCCCTCTCCGGTGGCTACTTCTATATGAGACGAGGCACCCCCACAACCGCCCTTCCTAAAGCCGAGGCCAAAAAAGTCTCTGGCTCGGTCGCAGCGCCAGTCAAGGCCGCCTTCACGGGCGGAGAGCAGGGCTTCCTGTCCTTGGTGCTAGAGAAGGCCGACATCATCAATCACAACACCAAGAAGTTCACCTTCAAGCTGCCAGAGGAGGACATGGAGAGCGGCCTACCCATCGCTTCTGCCGTCATCACCAAGTACAAGGGCCCGAACATGGAGAAGCCCGTCATTCGGCCCTACACCCCCACCAGCGACACTGGCAAGTTGTACTCCCTTCCTCCTTACGTGGTCTAACATTATGCAGACCAGAAGGGCTACGTCGAGTTCATTGTCAAGAAGTATCCCAATGGCCCCATGTCCGAGCACATGCACAACATGGAGCCCGGCCAGCGCCTCGACATCAAGGGCCCCATCCCTAAATACCCCTGGTCGCCTAACAAGCATGAGCACGTGGCCATGATTGCCGGCGGAACCGGCATTACTCCAATGTGGCAAGTCGCGAATGCCATCTTCAAGAATCCTGAGGACAAGACAAAGGTCACACTCGTCTTTGGCAACATTTCCGAGGAAGATATTCTACTCAAGAAGGAACTGGAACGCTTGGAAAACACCTACCCCCAGCGGTTCAGAGCATTCTACGTCTTGGACAACCCGCCAGAGCAGTGGCAGGGTGGGAAGGGATTCGTAACCAAGGAGCTGCTGAAGACGGTGCTCCCGGAACCGAAAGAGGGCGAGAAGATCAAGATTTTCGTTTGCGGACCGCCAGGCATGTACAAGGCCATCAGTGGGGGCAAGAAGAGCCCAACGGACCAGGGCGAGCTGGATGGCATACTGAAAGATCTTGGGTACAGCAAGGACCAGGTGTACAAGTTCTGAGCAGATTATGTAGAGTTTCTGAGAAATCTTGTACACTATGTCTGATGAAGATAGATTTCCTTGTCAAAACAGCTCCCTCCACGGAGGCTCCAGCAGGCACAACGGTATGCGGTTATGATAGAAACTACCATCTCTGTAATACATCCCTGATTCCGGCAAGGAGCCTAACAGACCAAACCCATCTGCAAGCCTGATGGTGGTGCAGCGGAAGAGTGTTGTATTGATGTAGAGCCTTTAGGGCAGTCATGATACATAGAGGGGACAGGCACTAGTAGATAGTGGCTTGGACTGGTTCTACTATCCTATTTACGCCCCGTGGTATGGGAAGAATATGCTAAAGCAGCAGGCGTAACACCTAGCTAACACATTTGAACGAGCGTTAACTGTTCCAAGTGGCAAAAGGTCAACCTCCTACCAAGCACAGCAGAAGAATATATATAGGGGGATAAAATGCACGCGCGACTATTCACTGTCGTTGTTTTACCGCGCTCATCATTTAAGCCCGCGCCGAATCCCCTCGTCAACCCCCGAATGCCGTCGTTCTCGTGTAGACACCCCTTGGCGAGGCCTGGATCTTCTATTTGGGTGCCCTTCTCTGCCGTTTGGGTGTGGTCTTGACCACCCTTACGGGGCCTTGATATTCCCCCCCACTCGCGAGTTTTTCTGTCGCCGGCTTCCACCTCCTCCGCACCCGCACCGCCTTAATATGCGCCCGAAGGCGCAGCTCTTCACAGCACGCCTATGCTCCCGTGGATTTTTTCATACTATCCCAAGAGTTCCAGCCTCGTTCCCTACACATTAAATTTCATCCTGCTGAGCGACCAACTCAAGTTCCTTTTCTACTTCTCTTGCTCCTACAACAGCAGCTCCTGCTCGGCGCTGACTTTGCGGGAGCTAGCATGTTTCTTTGTTGGGGGGGATTGGGGGGCTATGCATATTCTAGGAGGCAGCCGCGTGCAGTGAATTCGGCTTTGATGGCATCGGAGGTGGTAATGCTCTTTCCTAGTTTAGTGTCGAAATCGTTACTGGGGCAGTTTTCGCCGTGGACGGTAGAGGAGGGGAAGGACCCCCGGGTTAGGAAGTCGCTGACACTTCTGGATTGATTGGCGTGCAGTAGAGTGGAACTTGAGGCCATTACATATCCTTCATGGTGCTAAATCAGACAATGTGGTAGCTGATATCTTGGCATACTTCTATGGTCTGAGAGGAGATGGGATGTCATTCAGCGGTCTTGAGTTTGTTGGTCGGTCGTGTGGTCACGAATGTCAAAAATAGCGTCGTCTGGAGTGATGGATAATAGGGAGAACGAGCGAGGGTGGGCTGGATTGAGTGCTGCTGGATCTGTTGAGAAGTGCTAGAAAAATTAAGGTGTTCCATACCATAGGACGGTCGTCTGGTAGGGCTATTTGGCTGAACCACCTCAACTGGTACATTACGACTCTGTTTACCAACACTATGCCTAATTCTAATATTGACCATATTCGCATAGCAATTTATTCGAAGATACCGGCTCACAATATAATACTCTCAAAGTCGTTATGGCCATCGTAGTCCTTTCTCCAAACCTTAACTATTGTCCGCTGACCAATTTTGGCGCTTCCCAACCAACCAGCCACCTCTTCCCCCTCCTCCAACTTTCGCCCTCATCCCCCACTCTTCACATTCCACCCCTCCTCACTAAATCCGCAAACATCCTCTTTATTCAGACACTTAATCTCACTCCCTTTCAACGCCGCCCCTTTAAACTTCCGAAAACTCGTACCCGTAACATTAAGCCTCGCCTTATAATCGCACCAACCAGGCCTACACTGCTCCAAATACACCGCCTGCTTAACCGGGCCCTCCATCGTCACATTGTCAAACGTCGCGTTCGCGATCTCAATTGTATGTACCTCCCGCGTCTCCTGACCAGTCCACAGCGCAACAACATTCATCGTTCCAATAGCCCGGAAATTCTTAACAAGGATATTACGGACATAGGATAGCCCGGTGCCGATGACCAGTTGGAATTCAATTCCGCTAGGTCCGAGATTCGTGCTTCCGCTAGTGATACAAGTGGTATCTTCCACCTGAACATTAGAAGCATTTGGTAATAACATAACGCACGCGCCGTCTGCACGGATTGTATTATTGTTGATGTACACGTGTTTAGCGTCGCTGATTTGGAATCCATCCGTTGGCGGAGCTGTGCTATCTTCCGTGCCAATGTCCATATCGTAGAAATACATGCCTGTGGTTTTTGCTGTGACCTCGAATGCCGTGCCGTACACGTTCTTAAGCTTGAGACCCGAGAAATGGATGTTGGAGGAATTAGTGATGCTGAACAGCTTGGGTGTTTTGGAGGGTTCTTTGTAGGAGGTAGTGACGCCGTACGAGTTCGCATTGATGATGCCTGTGTTGCCGTCACTTCGTATTACGGCCGCTTGGCCCGAGATAATGGTAAACACGGCGTGCTGCCCGCTCCAGAAGTTCCAATCAGTGGATACGCCGAGGAGACCGTTGATTTGGAAATCACAGGCCTGGCATGCAGAAAGGTCGATTGGAGAGCGGATGGTGTAGGTAGTGCCCTTTGGGAGGAGAATACGGCCGCCATTGCCGCATTTCTGAAGCGCAGAGAGGATGGCTGGAGTGTCGTCTTTGGAGGGATTGGAAAAGGATGCGGGCGTGCAGATTTCGCGGGGAGAAAGGGTGGAGGGAAGGGCATTTGATGACGTGAGGAGAGTGAGGAAGAAGAGTGTTAGTATCATGTTGGTTTTTTTTGAGTCCGTATAAACTAGTCACATTAAATTGGATGTGGGGAGTTAAAGAAGATTCAGCTCCGCTAGTGTTGTGATGTTCGCAATGCTTTAAACAAATCGCAACGCAGTCACAATCTACCCACCCGTCTTGCGCGACCTTTACTTATGTATGTTACGGAATACTTCCCATTGGCTATCTAGCATTGCGATGCAAGACATTTATCTAAATTGATGGCTGTTTTTTGATCGCGTGGTGGCATGCAATCTGTTCCCGGTCAGCACATTCATATAGAAAGCAGACAAGCTTCTAGAAACACTCTGTCTCCAATCGGACGACACACACGCGTAATATAAAATGGAGTACGTTTGATTCGGAGGATTTGCTATAGTGGGGAAGGGTTGGAAACAGTATATAGTAAGCTGCATGTGGTTTAGCGTATAGGCTAAAAGGGGAGTTAATATATCTGGTGTGGGATGGAAAAGCAAGACCCGAGATAGCAAGAATAACAACTGCGATACTTGATATTTCGATAATTCTTTGTCCATTTGCACCTGCTACTGAAATTCTGTATACTGATCACCGGTCATTCAAAGGGCTGCGATTGACTAGCTGCACAATCCCTGCATCGTACTTTAGTTGTAGAAATGCGTCGCCCACTTCAAATCCTGGCTTGGCTGCTATGCGGAATTAGCGCGCTTCGACTGAGATGGTCTGATGATATATACTTGGATCCGACTCGCCATGCTCGTGATCGGTCATATCCACACCTTCGCCCCTACTCGATTAGCTTACAGATTCTTCGTTGTCTTCATCGCGAGGGGATCCAGAGAAAGTAGAGACATGCGCCAGGATGACCGGACGAAGTTGCTTCAAGAATCAGCCACCAATCTCCAGCTTCTTACCCGCCCTCGTCCTTGCCGTCCGGAGGTTCCATGACCTGAGGTGCCTTTAGTTTTGGGGATGATATTTGGAAACGGTCCTCTTCTTGCCAGCGCTTCCAACGAGGCGTAGTACTGTACGATTGGGCGATTTCGAGGCCTGTATGGGTGAGGTTTTGAGTACGTTCGTACAGCAGGGAGGAGGAGAGGTAGGCGTACGTATTGTAACTGTTACAGCTCACGTGATCTGTACAAGTAGTACAATTTAAGTAAAGTACGTTGTACTCTAGTTAAAACGGTTAATATTATGGGTCTCTAGGGACATAGGATTAAAATCTAAATAGCTATTAGATAATTGTTATGCAAAATTCTCTAGATTCTTAGCAATGCTAAGTAACATACACCACAGGCGAGCTGCTCACACACCTAAGTTGCTTACTTTTGCTAAGACTCTACTAAACTACTTTTTCTACACTAATGCATTTCTAACAATACTACTTAGATGTGCTAAAAGAACATTAAATACAGCCTACACTTTAGGCTTTTAAATAAGATAAAACACTTTTAATGTTAAATAGGCTCTTTTAGCTAGCTGCTTATAGTATAAGCACTTAAGTAGCAAGAGTAATAGTAGTGTACAGTGTAGTTTCTTACTATACGCAGTAACATTTACTTGCGCTTAAACATCTTTAGCTTATTAAATAATGCATTCCTTTATATATTAGTTTAATAGCTTTGTTTATTTTTTATTTATTAGGTTACATAACTTAGTAGTTAGAGTAATAGAAATATTCTAGCCTTATTTGTCTAAACAGTAGGGCATAGAAGGTTAGTAGCTTATAGTCTAACAGTAGGTTGTAATATGCAGGCTCTTTTTCTTATTAGCGTTCTTACTGTTCTGCTTACACTATTATAAGTGTTAGAATTTCTTATTATCTAGTAAGTGCTCTTTTATGCATGCTTTATAGATGTCTATCTTTCTTAACTATGCTTTGTTAGTCTTCTTGTTAGTCTACATGCGCACGCTGTTTACGCGCTGTTGCGTGCTTTAATCCTCTTTATTATATAAAAATGCAACCCTGTAGCCTTTATTACTTAAGTAGCTCCTCTTACATTTTAACTTTATTATTAGATAAGTGTGTAGAGTGTGTTTAAACAGAAAGTTACTATAACACTTTTATTTCTAATGCAGTGTAAAATTATTTAAAGAAGAAGTATAAGCAGCTTTAAAAAATAAAAGATGCCTAAGCTTAGTAAAAGCAGAAAGAGGCTTTAGTAAAGAAAAAAATAAAGTAAAAGTAGTTTCTTCTTAAATATGTAGTGAAGTGTAACACTAAGAATCTAAAGAAGTTGCAGTCTATCTATGCTTAAAAAGCGTAGTCTTAGAAATAGCTTAATTTACTAGAGAATTAAAAAGTAAAGTATCTAAAAGAAAACTTTTTATTACTAGATAAGATTAAAGCACTTAAAGTAAACACTGCTAGTCTTCCTTCTCCTTAGCCTATGTTGTAGAATTAAGGGCTTCCTACATTACAGCTATCTAATGCTGCTATAGCTTCTTTAGCTGCTAATGTTTTTTAGTCTAGGGAACTTTCTCTAGGCTAGTTCTAGTTCGAAGGGACGCCTAGTAATCTTAAAAAAGCTGTAAGGCGTTTATTAGATTCTTAATAAGTTTCTATATATTCTTACTAGTAAGCTATTTTTTTTATTTTACTAGAAATTCTTTTCTTTTTTAAGCATTAACTATTTGTTTAACTTTATACTTAACTTCTATGTCTCTCTATTTAGTTATAGAAAGGGGTATTTCTTTAAGTGCTACTTTAAGCTTTAAAATGTAGAACTATAAGTGTATACATATTTTGTCGCGTATACTAAGAGCCTTGGCTGGGGCTCGGAGCCTGGGACTGGAGCTCAGAGCCTGGGACGCAGCTCGGGATCTGGAGATATTATGTTCCGAAGCTCGGTGTATATAAGGAGAGCCTTCAGCTCTCTTAGATAGGAGAGTCGCTTCGTCCGATCTTCTGAACGGCTACTGCTAGGCTATTTTATCCTCCACATATATTTTTTAGTAGCTTAAGTTTATAGTTTTTTTGTTATGTCTATAATACTAGGTACAGACCTATGCGTTTTTCTGCAAATTTCTAGAAGGGTCTAAAAGTGCAGAGATTTTTAGTTTTTAAGTATACATAATCTTTAGGCTAAATCTTAGAACTTTTTTTATTAAGCTTTATTTATGTTTTTTTTTAAACTAATTCTTACTTTAACTACTAATTCTTAATGTAGTCTTAATAAGTAAAAGAAATAGGTAGTAGTTTTTAGTAGATCTATTAGTTGCGTCCTGTAAAGTGTATAATAAAAATAATAGCTAAAACTAGCCCTAAAAGGTGTTTTCTTTATTATAGCTAATTTTACTGTGTTAATTACTAATTATGCTATAAAAAGCTATTCTGCCTAATTTAACTAGTTATAGAATTTATAATTTCTTAAGTACTTTTCTATTTTAGTGTTTACTCTTTTAGTTTAGCTGTCTATTTATAGGTAATATACTATAAGCAGCCTGTGTTCTATTCTAAGGTGTCTTATAGCAGCTTTCTAGAACTTGCTTGTAAACAGTTTATCTCTATTAAAGATAATAATTAGTAGGGAGCTATAGACTAAAAATACATTTTATTTTAATTTATATAAGAATTTCTTAGCTGTTATGCTCTTTTTATAAGCTAAGTATATAGAAATTTTGTTGTCTTATCTAGAGCAACTGCTATTATATTACAGAGTCTTTTAGTTCTAGGTTTATGTAATAGTAGGAGCCTAGTAATAAAATCTATTATTATTATTATTTAGAGCTGTTTAGAGGCTCTTATTAACTGTAGGTGACTATACATCTTATAGCGCCTTAGGTTGTTTTTATTATAGATGTTACATTCTTAGAGAATCTCTATACACAGCTGCTTTAGTTTTAGAATATTTTAAAAGATTATAGCTTTAATCTTTTTCTAGAGTGTTCTAATTCTTAGGTGTCTAAACATTAGTGCCTTATAGCATTCTTAGACAAGGTTCTTCTATCCCTGCTCTGCTATAGTAAGGGATTAAATAGTTTTTTTTAGATTTAGTTTATTATAAACTAATCTATTATCTGTCTTTTTAAATAGTGTAAATTCTTCTGTGTTATCTTCTTTTTCTTTAAAGTAATTAGCGCGCCTACTTAAGGCGTTTGTCTGTTAATTGTTAGTGCTTACTGCATTTTTTATTATAAAATTAAACTAGGCTAATTCTATAGCTTATTATACATGCATTAGTAATAGTTTCTTTATTATTAAAAAGGTAACTAGGTTAGAGTAGTTAGTAAAAATAATAAACTACTGTCTAGTTCTTTACAGTTTAGTTTTCTAAGCTCTAAGCACATTTACTATAGCTTTAAGTTCTTTATTAGAAATGTTATACTTTTATTTTAATAGTAAGAACTTAGCTACATAGTAAGCTACTAGGGGCTATTATCTGTTCTCCTGTTTCTAGAGGAAGACTGCTCCCTCTGCTCTTAGCAATGCATTTATATGTAGCTTAGTTTTAAGTTTTAGGTTATACATTTATATAACTAGTTTACTAGTTATAATTATCTTAAGTTTTTTAAAAGCTTTCTTTATCTTAGAGGTTTATAGAAACTTTAGTTTAAGTTCTGTGTCTTTTACAGTAGTATTAGTAAGTAGTAGTGTAATCTTTAAGTAGTCCTTTATTATACATTATATGTACTTTATTAGTCTAAGAAATCCTTTAACTTCTTTTATACATATAGGTGTTAGCTACTCTATTACTTTTTTTTACTTTTATACAGTTTATTTTTACTTTTTTTCTGTTAATAATAAATCTAAGGTATTTAGTTTCCTATACATTAAATTTACATTTTAAAAGTTATAGGTAGAGTTTATATTTTTGTAATTAGTTTAGGACTAGCTTTACCTTTGTAACGTAGTCTAGCTTGTCCTACTTTGTGTAGATAAAGACATTGTCTAAATATACTAACATAAAGATGTCTAGGTATAGATTAAGCGCAGTGTTAATTACTCTTTAGAACATAGCTAGAGCGTTAGTTAATCTAAACAGTATAATAAAAAGTTTATATAAGGCGCTTAGAG